GGCTGTGTACTGGTGATATGATACATTTCACTACACAGTATTCACGATATATCACGATATATCGTGATATATTGCAATACTGATATATCGCCATTTTTTTCTCCAAAAGATTCACATTTTTAAAAACTCAGAATAAGAAGCTCAGCATGCATAAAATCTGATTATATTCAGTTATTTTTATGCAATCAGAAGAACCCTGAACAACAGAGAGGACTGCATTTGTATTTAATAATAGGGCTGTGTATTGGCAAGAATTTGGCGATGCGATACATATCATGACAGAGGGGTCACGATACGATATATCCCGATATATTGGATTTTTTTTGTCCAAAAATTCTATTAAATAAAAACCTCTTACTGGAAAAAAAAAGAAAAACCAAAATTCATTGTCTCAGAAAATTCTAATATTACAGAGACATACTTTTGATACGTTTAGCTGTGTTCTGCTTTGTATGTGTTTTATTTTATTTGTTTCATATTTCATCCATGTTTTCAATTATTAGAGTAAATTTGACAATAAATAGTTTGAAAATATACTTTTGCAGCTTTTAATTTTTAATATTAATTTACAATATGGTCACCCAACACTTAACAATAGCCTCTACCTCAAGAGGTAGAGTAGCCAAATGGCTGGCTCACTGCTGCCGACTAGTGGTCAGAGGCTGAACTACAAAATAAAAATGAACAGCTGGCAGGAAAGTTGACCTTTTAAACCTTAATAAAAAAATCATTACAGGGCTTTAGAATATCGATACAGTATCGGGAAATGAAATATCGCGATATTTCAGTGTATCGATATTTTCTTACAMCCCTATTTAATAATTCCACTAATATATATTGACACAAGTCTCGCCATAAATAAGCTGTTTCTACAAATGTCTTCATCCACAAGAAAACACAAAATTGCTGTAGTAACTACGCCCGGCTTTTATTTGACGCAGTAACGACAAAACACGGAGCACAAGATGTGGAGGCCATGCATTAAGTTTGCATGTGTGGGAAAATATAAACCAGAAAAAAAGGACGTCCTCGAGTTTTAGGCAGGGATTTGACATCATCGTTTTCAAAAAGTTGCATTTTGACTGTCTGAACAAAAACAGTGGTGCTTCAYGATTACTGTTATTCTTTTTAAAAATATGATTTTGAGGCTCCCTCCCTTGTGGACACAAAGATATGACAATAAAAAATGCTGTTCCCATGTGGATGCGCTACTTCGAATATTTATTAAAAAAATACTTTCGGCTGTGTGTACACCACCTGCCCACACACAAACTGAGTTTTTGCTGAATAAAAACGTGTTCTTTTTTTAAAGTGTAGATTTTAAAACTGTGTGAAGACAGGAAATATGAAGCTTTGTAGAAACCGGTTAGACAATTTCAAGAATGCCTCAAAACCAAAACAACAGAACAATGGAGTTTTAACATCTCCATTTTGAAAAGTGCTTTTCAAGAAATAATTTCTCCCCAGTAAAAATGCCAATCACTTGCAGGAGAAAAGGATAAATGTGGAAAAAGTTGTTTGTTTAGCCAGTGTGGACAGGAAACGAACAGAAGGCAAATGTATTTGCATCTTTAAAAATTTAATTTTTGGTGAGTTTATGCAAAATTCTGTTTCCAAGTTTTTCCACCCGAGACTTCTACATATTTTTTAAACAAAAGCCAGGTCTACAGTGCATATTAATCCAATACTGGCTCACGATCAAAGCATGTTGATTTCAAAATCCTCTTTAGTCCCATTAATCCCATCTGCTGAGGTGTCTTTTTACAGGACATGTCCTAACCATCGGAAAGCAAGACGAACAAACACGTCAGTCTGGATTTCTGAAATTACACAATGAACTTTTAGTTTCTCTTCCAGTAAATAATTTTCTTTGGCTTTAAGGGATTTTTAATTGGAGTCGTTGCTCCAAGTGTACAAAAACTAGTTAAGCCACATTGAAGAATGCTATTCATGCTAACGACTCCACTAACACTCATGACCAACAGCCAAAACAGATAAATTAAATCACTTAAACGAGAGCTATGAAGTTTTTATATATATATATATATATATATATAACATTGAAAACCATTGATTAGCACAGACATTAAATAAGACCATAACTGGTTTGTTGCTTTGCGGAAAAGGAGGCAGGAGAATAGCAAAAAGGCTAACAGATGTGTTTCTCCACATTTACACTTTAAATGTCCAGAACCTAAAATTACCAAGAGATTTACTGTTTTTTTTTACAGTTACAGTATCAACACTCCTCTCTGTACACAGAGTATATAGTACTCAGTACTGTTTATCACATTCACGGCACTCATCCAGCAGTGCCTCCGATTGGATCCTTGTGATTACCTTTCAACCAATCATTGTTCATCGTGAGTTTGAACATTCGACCCAATCAGAAGCAGTGTCCAACGCGTCATGATGTCCTGTCGACTTGACTTTATGACTTCACAGCTGTAGATTACAGTTTGTGACTCTGACGTCAAGTAATCGTGATAAAAAAATGACAGTGCCAGTTCTCCGAATCTTTTAAAGTTGCCGTTCTCCACCGCAATGCTACGAATAGAATGTGGGTCAATGGCAGCTCAGAGGAGTCGACATGAGCTTACCAAGAACTGGCGCCAACAGCTACAGCACAGCTGCTGCCGGGTGACATTAGAACCACCCAGATTTACGTGACTCACCAGGACCAGTGGGTCTGAACAGAAGCCCTGGAGGTGTAAAGATAGCTGTTTGCCGTTGGTTCTACCCAGTTATCACCACGGTCGTGCAGATTATAAGGTCAGCACCAATGAATGAACCCATTAGGGTCAGCTTTAACTGTGATAAAAGTTAGAAAAGACAAAAAAAAAGACTAAAGCTAAAATTTAGTGGTCATCCCCAAAACAGATGCCAAACCCTATAATTTGGGGCAACATCTTTGCTTGAAAAATGTTGCCATTAACCTTTGAAGTAAACCTAACTCAAGATGATTGCAATGACTACGGCAAAAATGGTTATTATTGAGTTATTTTAATAGATACAGAGCTAAGGTTTGGTGTGGTAGTAGCTGAGAGTCATCTCCAACAAAACCTCAAACAATACACTTTGGGGCAACATCTTTGCTTGAAAATATTGCCAAAAACTGCTGGAKTCAACCCAACTCCAACTGTCACATCTAACTGACCCTAACCAACACAAAAATGGTTGTAAATGAGTTAATTACACACATATACAGCTAGAGTTTGGTGCAGTAGTAGCTGAGAGTCATTCCCAACACATATCACCAACACTACACTTTGGGCAACACATTTGCATGAAAATGTCACCATTAACTTTAAGTAAACCCAACTCAAGATGGTTGTCATAACTAAATGACTCCAGTCAAGGGAGAAAAATGGTTATAATTGAGTTARTTACAAAAAACATAGAGCTCAAATTTGTGTTTGGGATGATGCTTGGCTATTACCATACMAAATTTGAGCTCTATATTTTTTTGTAATTAACTCAATTATAACCATTTTTCCCCTTGACTGGAGTCATTTAGTTATGGCAACCATCTTGAGTTGGGTTTACTTAAAAGTTAATGGTGACATTTTCATGCAAATATGTTGCCCAAAGTGTAGTGTTGGTGATATGTGTTGGGAATGACTCTCAGCTACTACTACACCAACACAAAAAGGGTTGTAAATGAGTTAATTACAYACATATACAGCTAGAGTTTGGTGTAGTAGTAGCTGAGAGTCATTCCCAACACATATCACCAACACTACACTTTGGGCAACATATTTGCATGAAAATGTCACCATTAACTTTAAGTAAACCCAACTCAAGATAGTTGCCATAACTAAATGACTCCAGTCAAGGGTAAAAATGGTTATAATTGAGTTAATTACAAAAAATATAGAGCTCAAATTTGGTATGGTAATAGCCAAGCATCGTCCCAAAAACAAATTCCAAAAACTACACTTTGGGGCAACATCTTTGCTTAAAGTGCTTTCTTTAACTGTTGGAGTCAACCCAACTCTAAACGTCACATCTAACTGACCCTAACCAACACAAAAATGGTAGAATTGAGTCAAATCCATACGTAGAGTTAAGTATAGAGCTAAAATTTGGTGTGGTAGTAGCTGAGAGTCATCCCCAGCACATATTCCAAACACCACACTTTGTGCAACATCTACGCTTAAAATATTTTGCCATTAACCTTTGGAGTCAACATAAATCCAATTGCCACAGCTAGTTATTTCTATCAACACAAAAATGGTTATAATTGTAACAATTTCACAGATAAAGAGCTAAAGTTTGTTGAGGTGTAGCTGAGGGTCATCCCCAACACATATCCCGAACACTACACTTTATGCAACATCTATGCTCAAATCGTTGCAATTAACTTTTGGGGTCAACCCAATTCGAGATGATTGCCACTACTTATTGACCCTAGCAGACACAATAATGGTTATAATTGTGTTGATTTCACAGATAGAGAGCTGATATTTGGTGTGGTAGTAGCTGAGAGTCATCCTCAGCACATACTCTTGCTGTATAGAACAAGACTGCACATAAATTATCAAGGCTAATATGTCTTAATATGTAATATTTCGACTTGGCCATTTATGTTTTCACCCCCATCCCACTCTAAATAATTAAATCAGATATCTGACAGGTGTGTGCTTTTAAATCCCTCTCAGCCAATCAGAACAAAGAAGCCAGGCTGCCTGGTTAATAATGAGGCTATAAAAGCACCATGTGGCCACATTTAGCCAACCTGTGGTGGGCGAGGAGGATGCCAAGTTCCTCCACGTCGTGTATAATGACCAAAAAAAATGACAATAATGTGTTAAAATCGTTTATTTACCTGCATTATGTAACATGGACTGTAAACAGTTTGAAATGTGGAACAAGCTAGGCCAAAAAAAAGGAGCAAATGACAAAGAAAGACTGATTTTTTTTTCTTTTATAACATACCTCTTTATTTTAGCTGGTTAAATCGTTTGTTTTTATTTATTATAGACCGGTTATTGTCTTACCTCGCAGTCGTACAGGTCCGTTAGCTGGTCGATGATCCACTCCTCCAGGTTCAGTCTTTTCCTCAGCTCCTTACGGTCGTATTTGACGGTGACACGTCCCTGCTTCCGAACGGGGGTCTCCGGTTCCTCCGTGGTGCCGGCCGGCGTCTGGAAATAAACCCGGGGCTGAGGGCTCGTCTCCGGGCTCGTTACAGCTGCCATTGCGGTGTCGCTCAGTTCAGTTTGCAAATAAAATAAAAATAAAAAAATAAACCCCCCTCACCTGAGGTATGATAGGGGAGACGAAGCGGAAAGCGACCTCAGTGGTTCCTCTCTTTTATGACTTCAAAATAAAAATGGATGTGTGCGACTTATTCCTCCCCCTCCTGAAGAGAGCGGCTCCGGAGCTTTTGTTGTCCGGTCTCTCTTGCTCAAACAGCGGACACTGACAGCAGCGGTGACCGTTTTCTACGAGCCGAAACCGGACCTTCGGTTACGTGTAACCGGCTTACCGGACTATTTACAGCGTCGGGCTCGGCTTATAAATATATAAAAGAAGAAGAAGAAGAGCGCAGAGGAAGAGCCCGGCAGCCTCAACTCTTCAATGAGTACAAAGAAAAAAAAAATCACACGTTTCCTTCACTCTCAGCTCTGGTCCACCTTCAAACACCACTGCGCATGCGCGCCGCTCTCTGGACTCCAGCGCGCCTGACGTAGGCCGCCATTTTTTCCCACCCTTTACTGTACATCCATAAAAGTCACATTTTCACAAAAAATACACTTCCTCCTCTTAAAATTAACCTTAGTGCACAAATTATAGCATCCTTGTTTGCTTCTCATGAACCACTGGGTGGATTTTATGCGGAAGAGGATTAGGGCCACTGAAAAATAAAAAAAGGAATTCTGACTTTAATCTCAGAATTCTGAGAAAAAAGTGAGAATTCTGACTTTAAACTAAAGTCTGACTTTAGATTAAAGTCAGAATTCTGACTTTAGATTAAAGTCAGAATTCTGTCTTTAAAATTCAGAATTCTGACTTTTAAAGTCAGAATTCTGAATTTAATCTCAGACTTCTGAGAAAAAAGTCAGAATTCTGAGATCAAAGTCAGACTTCTGAGATTAAAGTCAGAATTCTGATATTAAAGTCAGAATTCTGAGATTAAAGTCAGAATTCTGACTTTAATCTCAGACTTCTGAGAAAAAAGTCAGAATTCTGAGATCAAAGTCAGAATTCTGATATTAAAGTCAGAATTCTGAGATTAAAGTCAGAATTCTGACTTTAAAGTCAGAATTCTGAGATTAAAGTCAGAATTCTGTCTTTAAAAGTCAAAATTCTGACTTTAGATTAAAGTCAGAATTCTGACTCCGGGTCAGGGGGGTCTCAGAATTAGTCTCAGAATTCTGACTTTAATCTCAGACTTCTGAGAAAAAAGTCAGAATTCTGAGATTAAAGTCAGAATTCTGACTTTAATCTCAG